GGGCGGGCGGGAGCTCTCCGCCTGCTGCCTTTGCATCTGCTTGTTTGCTTTTTTTTCCCCTTCCCAGCCTTACTTGTGAAACAGCAAGTACCTTTACGAAGTTTGTGAAGGTCTTCATCACCGAGACTGCTTTTTTTTTGTTTTTTTTTTCCAAGGAGAGAGGATATTTTTCATTGGCCTGAGACGGCTAGGAAGCAGAGGCAAGCTTTTAGCACACGTGTCCTTTATAGCCAGCCTGTGAAAACTCATTTCCTAAACCTTGACTATCAAGTGAAGCTTGCGAGTGAAAAAACACCTCTGTTTCCCACGTTCAGGCCTGTTTGCATACCTGCCTGCGTATGCGAATGTATGTTTTTGTGAAATAGTGTAAGAGGATAATCTGCCAACCGTATTACTTTTTGAGAATTGCTGGCTTTTATGTATATTTTGTTGTGTATAAATATGTGCCCTTTGTACTCTGAAGTGTTTTTGCCAATCTAGTTGTCTCTTCTGTTGAAGAGTTTACCTGAAGCAAAAATCAACATGAACTCGATTGTTCTACTGAAATGTGGTGTTAATTTAACTCAAGAAATTTAGCTTAAAAAAGCCTCATTAAAGTATCAAAGATACACAGGCTTATATTTCTTATATAAGTACTTATGCATTGATTCCAAACAGCAAAGGTGGATAAGTCTCACTTCACTGATGCGTGCAAATGATGATAATATATTGAAATATTATTCTGGTATTGTACAGTAGTGATAATGTACAAATGCACAGAATAGATGAGAATCACTTATGTTAGATATGTTTTCACACACCCAGCAAAGAGTAACTGAAATATTTACCGGCATCACTAAACTAACCTTCAGCATAGTTATATGCTGCAATGAAGTATAAATTATATTTTACAGATTTTACTTATTGTCTTCAATTGCCTACCTAAATATAGAATTTGAATGTTGCTCCAATTGAGTCCCAGCTGTTTAGTAACTCTGAATTTGACTGTGGTGATACTTTCAACAAATGGGACTGTCAGAGGTGTGGGATACAGCTGCAACTAACATAATTTATAGAAACTAACACAGTTCTCTTGCAAGCTAGAGGATAACTTGGAGGTATGTTCGTTTATTTGATAGCAGTTTGTTTCCTGCTCCCAGGTGAATTTTTTTGCTCAAACCAGACTCAGATGAGATAATTTGATAGAAGTCTGCAATACAGACCTGTAGATGGGTGAAGTGACTTGTCGGAGATTATACAGCTTTTGATGGCAGGTCCTTTTTCTGCAGTATAAAAAGAAATTTGCTTGATAGTTTGCTTTATTATTTTTTTCTTTTTTTTCTTACAACCTCTGTTGAAAAAGTTTTCAGACATCAGAGCAAATTTATTAAAAGAGCATTATTCAAGTAATTTGTCTAAAAATCAGTTATGGTTCCTCTAAATATGTTTCCAATTTTTAGCATTGTTTACTATTATATATTGTTATGTTTTGTTCGTAAAACACACATTTGCTGTTATGTATTGTTTGCAAAAATAGCTTGAGAAGCCAACTCTTATGTTCTTCATTTTTCTTGTGTTTTTTATGACATGCTTACAGAATTGTGGGTGATGATGATGGAGGAAAGCTCTTTACCCCTGAGGAATATGAAGAATACAAAAGAAAAATATTACCAATTCGGTTAAAGAACAGGTTGTATGTGAGCTGGAGATCACCAACTGGCATGGACTGTAAACTTGTGGGGCCAGAGACACTGTGCTTTTGTACTCACCGGTAGGATTCTTTTCTTTTTTTCTCATGGTTGTATTTTTTTTTTAAATTAGAGAAATGTAAAATATTTCTAGATATGTCCCAGTGCAGTCTAGGGAAGTTAATGTAAGGTCTGAGAATTTTAAAAATTAGGCTTTAAATTATAAGAAAAGTTCTTAAATCCAAATCTCAAGCAAGTTTTTTGAGACCTGTAAAATTTTGTAGTCTTCAGTAAATTCAGCTTAAACTTTAAGGTGTGAGCTATTGTAGACGAGAAAGAGTCTGATAGTGCTGTCCAAATGCAACATCTATGGCGTTTATATAAGGTATGACTGTAAAAGTACTTGATATTGTGTATCTAACTGAAAATTAACGATTAATTCTTAAGATAATTAAAGGTACTTCAACACAGAACTTGTCAGCGAAATTACAAGCCTTTCAGTTAGTCTTGTGATAAATATTAAAAAAAGTTATAAAAGTCATTGTTTTTTGTCTGTTTTAGATATAAACAGCATAAAACAGACTATGAAGTGATTCCAGAAGATCGTCCTATTTGTGTGCCTTGTAGAGTAAGCCGTTGTCAATGCCAGTCCTATCACTATGTTCCTCTAAATGGCACACAGCCCATTCGTTGTAGATGCAAACATTTTGCTGATCAGCACAGTGCAGCGCCTGGATTTACATGTAACTCTTGTAAGTTGCTTATATGGTTGCAGCATTCCTTACAGTAAACATAACAGGAATAACATTTTAGAGTCTGCGTTGCAGGATCTGTATTATGCCCAGAATATTAGGTATATGTTGTACTTGTCGTTGATACATGTTTTGGCCCTTGTGGAAGGATGGGAAATGGGAAGAAAAACACGGTCTTTTGCTTAGAAAGGTTTAGAAGAGCATCCCTAGTTTCCCCAAATTCTTCAAAGGAGCATAAGTTTCCTGATTGATTAGGTTAGGAACATATGGAAACTAGCCTCCTAAAGTTAGGCAGCATGAAAACACCCTGTTTGCAGTTTGTCACTTTCGTTGCTGCTTCCACATGACTCTTCTACTTGACCTTGGCAGTTTGAGAGAGGGAGGTGTTAATCTCCATTCCTCTATTGCCTGGTTGAATATAATGCTAACATATCTTTATATCTTTTCTCAACTCAATAGGAAGTAGCACTCTGGTCCCAAATAGTACTATTATTAACACTCTTAAAAAAAAAAGCAGATCCCAAACCTACAGATTGTGTGTCCAGAAATGCAAAGGGTTTTCAAGCGAAAAGTTTGTGAGGGAAAAATCATTCTTTGAATTAAGAAGAAGCTTTTTGCTTCAGTTGGTCAAGGCTACTATACTGAAACAGCAGTGATTTTTAACCATAGAAATTAAATAATGGATAAAGTTGTCTTTCTTTGAAACCTCAAACTATATAAGCTGAAGTTTTTTTTTTTTTTGAGGTCTGTACTGTTAGTGAATTTCTTTCATGAAGTCTGTCTAATCTGTACAGAAAAATAATAAATGACTTTTGCTGGATGAAATCAGAATATCATACAAAATAGTGCATGAAGTATGACAGGCTTCCAAGAATTTGCGTTAAGTAATGTGCAAGAAAGTCTTATGTGTGTAACTGGATGATTCAAACTAAACCCTTAGAACACAATGTTTTTAATGATTGTTTACATTATGCCTAGCAATTTTTCTAGTGTTTCTCAAAATACCTGGTGCTTCTGAGGGCTGCAGAGATTATATAGAGGAGTGCCAAGACTTGCTTCTCTTCTGCAATTGTCTTGCTTTATTCTACTGGTATTAGTCTAACCCAGTGTTGTGCAACTCTAATGTAATAAGTAAATTAGATCTGTAATCTTTCTATAATTGATGCAATATTGCAGTTTTACTCTATATATTGTATGTACTGTATTCTATGTCTGAATAAAGAAGAAAGGTTATGTTACTGAGGAGTACCAAAATGAAATAAAAAGCTGTTAGCCTTTCCAAGACTGTGATTCTTGAACTTCTGATACAAGACCTTAAAAAAAAAAATTATGCTGCTCTGCAAAATGAACTGTAATTAGGAACTGGAGGCAGGTCGTAAATAGATTTGTAATATAAGGTAGTTCGAATAATGAAACACTTGCAAAACCAGTTCCTCAATTTCTTGTTCACATCATTGCTCTAGGAGGGCTTTGATGATGATTAGTCTTATTTGTAGCTGGGACAGATGTATCACTTCACTCTGTATTTCTGAGTGTCTCATATTATTTTTATAACTCTCTCAATTATATCCAGTGGCTATATATGCTTAAAAAATCCTGAAGGCCAGTCTAATGGTACTGGTATCTCAAACGTATTTTACTATTATCATAGTCACTGTTTATTACCAGGATGATTATTTTTAAGACATCTAAATTATGTGATTTCATAAATGAGGATTAGAAGCATTCTAGCCATACGGCATTAACACCTGCTGTAGAGAGTGGCAGAGAATCTTGACAGAATTCAGGTAGTGTGTCTTCTCTACTCTTGACAGAATTCAGGTAGTGTGTCTTCTCTACTCTTGACAGAGGGAAAGAGAAGGATGTAACTAGTGGCAACGGATACAAGTTGCAACGCAGAGAATTTTGATTAGATACTGGGGAAAAAAGTGCTTACCCTGAGGGAAGTCAGATGTTGGAACAGGCTGTCCGCAGAGGCTGTGGAATCTCCATCCTTGGACATACTCAGAACTTGACTGGATGAGGCGCTTAGCACCCGCCTCTAATTTGGCTCTACGTTTAGCAGGGAGTTGGAGCAGATGACCTCCAGTTGTTCCTTCTAACTTTTAATTATTTTGCGATTCTGTTTTTTCCATAATGCCAGCATCACCGTGAGAGCCATATATAATAATTTCAGAGTGTCTGTCTAGGGATTTCTCTATGAACCAGAGATGAAAATTAGCAAAAATTAAAAGGAGGTTGTATCACTGCATAATAAAATGGGAAAGTTTTGAATGTTATGGTACTTCCGGGTTCAAGCGTTCATACAAATAGTTTGGTTTTGTATGTTCCTCCTCATTATATTTCAAGGTCAGTTAGTATTCTTGCTTTAAAGGGAAGGCAAAAATAGCAGGAACTTGAAGGAAAGTAACTTTTTTTGAGTTAGATGTTGAATCCCCATGTCAAACTTGCAAAATGAATTGCAATTTTGAAGGGCAGACCCTGTGACCAGTCAACAGAGCCATTCAGCATCCCAGATACACTAATCCTGCTGGTTACTCTCCAGGTACTATGTGCTGCTATGACTCATCTGATTCTTTGCCCGTTTTGCGAAATAACTGCAGTAATTTGGCATGGAAGGTGAGCGATAACTATTGTTGTCAGTCCCTTCAGCAGTGGATTTTACTCACAAGTTGTTTGATAAATGGCCTCCAGCTTGTTGATTTCCCTTGATCAAATGTGAGAACAAAATATATAATCAGTACAATAGCTGGCCCAGCCCTAGGATTGACTCCAAGAATAGAATTCAGATTTGTGGTTCCTGTGATCAAATCCCCACGTTCATCCTTTTTCCTGTCTTATAAAGCATTTTCATATCACAATGAAAAAGACTATAAAAGGCTCTAACAATGGCAGCTGATTACTTTCCCAGAGTCACATATGTGTTTCCAAATAGGAAGTCTGGCTAGGTGCTTTGGCAGTGAAGGAACTCAGTAGTTCTTGACATGATCAATTTAGGGAAACAGCTTTGTTAAAAGAATCTATACTTCACAGCTCACGTCTCATTCATAATACTTATTTATTTTTTAATTAGGTTCCAAGTGCTCAGGATTTCATAGTTGCTTTACCTGTGGATGTGGTCAACCAACATTTGCTCATGAAACCGTAGTGGAAACTAAAGAAGAGCGAATAGCCCAAGGAAAACCTGTGGGGCAGGATGTTCCTTATGCTGCTATGGGAGGATTGACTGGTTTTAGTTCACTAGCAGAAGGCTACATGAGACTTGATGACAGTGGAATAGGTGAGTGGAATAGGTGGAATAGGACCTGAGATAAAATTCAATTCTCAGACTAGGTATTTTTGAAAATTAATAATCCAGTATAGACTTTAAAAGTTGGAAGGCAAACTGGATCAGTAGGACTTAAAAACACAGACTTCTTATTTTCAGAGATCTTAAGGTCTGAAGAGACCACTGTGACAGTCTTGTCCAACTTCCTGGAGGAAACGCATCAAAAAACTGTTTTGTTGATAATTCTGGTGTTAAGCCCTAGTAGCTTTTGGTTGAATTACAACATATCTTTTAGAAAGACCTCTATAATCTCTGTTTTTTCTTAATACATTCATTTTATACCTATTTGAATCCTTCTACCCTAACACTGCCCTGCGATTTCCTTGATTATATAGCTCCCACATTTTTTTCAGAATTGATAAGTTCTAGGATTCAATTTTTCCTCCTTCTGTTGTAAGTATAATTCACATAATTTATTCTTAGATGCTGAACTTTGCAATAAGGTGTACTAAAATGCATGCTGTCTAAAAGTGCTTTATCTACCAAATAATCCAGATTGCTCTATATAACTGATTTACCCTTTTGTTTACCATTCAACCACTTTATATGCTATCTGCAAACTTTACTGGCAGTATTTTTTTATAGGTCACAATACTGGGCCAAAAACTGGTTCCCTGCAGAAACTTGCCGGGAATAATCACATTTGATAATTGCTCCCCATAGGAATTAAATTTTGTTGCATCGTCCCATTTTCTTTGTTATTCAGTTCAAGTTTGCCATCTAGCAAGCTTAAATATTTTATTCTTTTTTCCAGTGTAAGGCATGTATCAAATGGAATTTGAAAATGATAATCTTCAGTAAACCCTCAGTTAATAACTGTTCAGCATTTAAAAAGAAAAGAAAGAGGTTATTTGTAGAACTTTGACATCCGCATTAGTGGGCCTTGATACCTCTGCTATTCTGTGATTCTGTGTCATGTAGTAATGGACTAATTTTATCCTGAAATACTGTTCTATTTATTATTGCCATGTACTCATTTTATGATTTCTTTTTAAAGTTATAATCCGGTTACCTTGATCTGTTTGAAGTTCAGAAACCATAGCATAGCAGTTGCAACTAAAGAACCCGATTTTTTTCATTTCTTTTGAAGCCATCCTCTGAAATGTTTTTTTTTAAACTCACGTTTATTTGGTCTGCACTCAGTGTTGTTGATTTGAATCCGTAGCCTTGTTTTGACCCCATCATATATATTTTTAATACATCTTGTGAAGCTAATTATTGTTTTGACTCAACTTATTTTTCTAACAGGGGCTCCTTCCACTGAATTTTTAGAATCTCCTCTTGCCAACATGGATCATCCATTCCTAAAAGCATTTCAAGGACCCTCTAGTTCTGCTCAAACCAGCTCGCCGATGACGGGTGGTGTATTAATATTGTTTTATTACAATAAATGTATCATATAAAATTAATTGGTTTCATTTATGAATTGAAGGATATTTAAGGGTAAAATCAAGTTAAAAATTAAGGTGAATATTGAAGCCTCATTATCTAAAAAGTTAGTACAACATTCCTGCACTTCAAGTGCTTAGAATAACTGTGTTGTTTTTGCTAGTTATTTTGGTAAGAGTATGCTTTTCAAACTTAAATATTTTTTTTCTTGCATTTGATATTGTCCTCCTCAGTGGTATCACTTATTCATTGGATCAGTTTTTTAAATTTTTGGTTCCTACTAAAAGCTCAACATACCTGAATCCACAGTACGTACGTACACACACACACACACGCACGCACGCACGCACATGTGTATGCCCACGCACACACACACTCATTACAGTCCTGTGAAACTGCCTTCTGCCAGTAAGTCTTTTCAAGTCTTTTCAGCATGGACTTAGGGGTCAGTTATACTTGTTTCATTTTATGTCTTTCATTTAGTATAAGTGTTTAGCAATTAACATTAATGATGAGCTCCTCCAAGACTATTTATATTAACTACGAACCTATACTCTTTAGTCCCAATTATTAGGGTTTATTACTTGCCTATAATGTTTTTTACTACATCTAGTGTGAGTTCTCATTTTTAAATGTGTTTTTCCAAATGTAAAATGTAACAAATGGAATAGCAAGTATCATTCATAAAAACGTTCTTTTCCTTCAGGTGGTTCTAGTGCTACAATGCAAGTTTCTCACGAAAGGCATTCGGAAGAAGATGACATGGCTTATTTTGAAAAACGTTATCAGGAAAGGGCAAGTCATTGCATTTATTGCTTGACAATTTATTGCATGGCTAAGATAGATAAACATATGATTGAAGCGGCCCATAAATGCATTGTATTATTTCTTCCCTTTCTGAGAAAACACTAGCTTCTTAAAATGAGGTTTGCAATTACATGGTATTGTGGGATTTTAGAGACCAATCATGTCTGGGATGGTATTTACCTTATCTGAGCAGATTTTTATTTCCATTAAAGAAAAACAAAATATTTTACTATATGATTAAAAAAAAACCCAAATGAAGTAGACTCACCAAAAAATTCCCTTTAACATGCGTGCACAAAACGTCATCACACTCTTTTGTTTAGGAAAATCTATGTAGCTGGGCTAAATTTGATGTATCTTTCTTAGATGATCAGGATCACCGTCTCAGAGGTGCCTCCTCCACTCCACTGATTGTGCTGATTAAATGCCCTGCAACATACATTATTTAGATGCTGAAATACCTCTTCTTTCCCCTCACTGTCCTTAGCTCCACCATCTCAGCTGGAAGTACGTCTTCACTGTCGATCAATTCTTTTGTAAGGCAACGTTGCATAACTACCTAGGTTATAAGAGCTTAACTGCTGTTATACTCGCTCCTTGCAACAGTTATATTTGTTAATGGGAAAGCTGTTCTAGCTTTGCTAAATTTTAAGTAATTCAAAATTTAATAATTTCCCAAGTTTTGGAAATCATCACAAAAAGTGACAATAGGTTGCAAATATAGTATCGATTTATAGTGGAGGAAAAAAAGCACTGCTATTAAATCAACATTGCTTTTCTTTTTTCCTTGAAGATTTTATTTTCTTTGCAAAAGGTAGGAATTTCAGATACTGACATCAAGCCTCCAAATACGGAAAAACTTTTTAATGAGTTCCTTTGTAGACCAGCAACAGGACTGCTGAGCAGTGTGCTCACCTGTAGGTGTCCACATCAGAATGGAAACCTTACTTCCTTCTGACACTGTTTTATAGCAAAAAACACATTAAAACATTTTGTTGGGTTTTTTTTCTTGCATATTGGATGGTACAAGATATCTTATGATATGCATCTGGGCATCCTTTTTATATAGTTGCTGTAAATAGTATTTCGTTGACTTACGTAGTGATACTTGAGAACAACTGTTTCTTCTAAAGTAACAGTTACGTTATTCTTGTTTGAATAAATTAATTAGTTTCACTTCAAGATGGCAGTTAAATGTATGAATATTTGCAAATCATATTATGCTGTAAGAACTTTTTGTGTTTTAAAAAAAATCTTTTAAAAGGAAGGGATGACTTTATGGGTCAGCGAGGAGCACTGAGATACGGGTGTAGCATCTACCTCAGCAAAAAACTTCCTTTGTGAATCTGTGTATGCTAGTTAGTCTAACTGTATCTGTTACACATCTGTAATAAAAATTCTTTAACTTTCTTTGACATAAAGATAAAATCATGAACGTTGTGAAGCACTTTGGCCTTGAGGGCTACATAAATAGCTAGATTGCCATTATCAGAGATAAAGGCAGCCCTGGTTTGAGTAAGGGAGGAGCTGCAGAGCTATGCAGGTGCTCCTTTGTCACATGATACACAAGCGAGCAGTGCTAGCCTGGGCTAAGGAGGATCTGTGAGCTCTCTCCATCCCATAAATCACTCTGATAAATTTGTGACTGGTTACAGGTGGTGAATATTGCGTTGTTAGTCTACTTACAAATTAATGCTTGAACTATTGCTGTGTCTTTTTTTTTTTTTTGTTACAGCTGAAAAAAGAGAAGGCTGCTAAACAGAAAGAGAAAAGTCCAGCACAATCAAAGAAGCCATGAGATTAATGAAAAAGTTATTATATAGCACAGTACTATTTACCATTATATTGAAGTATATTTCTCACTGTGCCTGCTTGCATACTTTTATTTCTTAATTTCCTTATTCTGCTCAATAAATTCTATATTTAACTAGACTGTTATTTAAGCTCTGAGAGCGTAAGCATACGTTTAAGTGTTTCAGTGTAATAGGGCAAATAAATATTGCATGCCCTATTCTTAGACTTCTGTGACACACTTTTTTATTTTTTGTAGAGTCCTTACTCATCTTGTTCATGAATTTTTACTTTTGGTAGGGTTTGTTATGTTTATTAACGTTGACATTTCAGCTTTTCTTTAAATTTTTTTTTTTCTGTTGGCTTCATCTGCTTTGTATAAAATTCAAACGTACCCTCCTTCTCTCTCACTTCTGTAGGCTCTGTTCTTGCCAACATATAAATATTTTTTACATTTGATGTTCTGTACAGTGATAATCCCATTTCCGCACATACTAGCTATTTGAAGGGATCCTACTATATGCTTTATCCCAGACCTCTCTAACAGGACTATCCTCTAGATTCTGTTTGACGCTGTCCATAGCAGTGATTTCCTAGTTCTATGATACTAAACTCTTGAACACATTAAGTAGAAATTGATGTGCTATTTACTGCACATAAAGAAACAATTATATATCCTGTTTGATATAAACTTCTTTATCTAATGGATTCTTTTGTATCATGTCCAATCCAACACTGACTGTAAGTCCCTCAAGATGGGAGGTGCTTTTACTTTCTTTGTGCATATTCACAGCTGTGGCAACATGTGTTGTGTTAAAGGTAGTGGAGAGAAAAACTTAAAATGTGGTGAATTTAGATGATTTACATCTGGGAAGCAGCACAGAAAGAATATAGCGCAGAATACCTGCCTGAGGCTCCCATGTGGGTGGAAGTAGGGGACAAGAGCAGACTCTGAGTTAACTTTGCTAGGCTCCCTCGAAAATAGACAAAGAGGTGTAAGCCAATTTGCCTTTAAAAATACTTGAAGATGTCTCATGGATTCAAGACTTTCCGGGTGGTATGTGTGTACTGCACCTTTATAGCAAGAGTTGGGAGAAGCTTGCAAAGCTCTGCTTCCCATCATATGCAGTGACACCACTGGGCTACCTGCATGTGCCCAACAGGTAGGGAAAATGAGGGAAGGTTGAATGAATCGGGAAGGAAAGTTCTTGGGAGTGAGTGAGTTATGCAGTGACTGATGGAGGTGGCTGGAATCCGAATGGGAAGGGAATACAGGCTAGGTTGCCCAAATTAGAATGGGAATAAAGGTTATTTACCTCCACTTACTCTCAGCTATACTGTTATTAGTGATGTTAATCAGAGAGGTTAATTGGTTACCTTAAATGCCAAAATGTCTACTGAATGTTTAAAATGTACCTTTACCATCAAAATCTATGCTATTATATAGTGCTTTAATATAATAAATAAAAACATTAATTTGAGCTCCCTCTACTGGTTTTAATAAGCAATCATTTCTGTAGATCCTCTCCTTACTCTCAGAAGGAAATGGGGATTACGCAACAGTATCACAAGAAACTGAAAAATGTAAATAGTATTTGTAAATAAAAATATAGGAAAATATTTTTATTTTATTCTTCAAAGAGATTATTACAACCCAAATCGAGGAAGTTTATTCTAATAATTTTGTGGGTTTTTTCCCCTCTGGCTATGTTGATTAGGGAATGGAGTTCCAGAAACGTATGTGGTACCTCACAGCAAGATGTTGTTACAGTCAGAGATCATAGTAGTTTCTTCTTTCAAGTTACAAACAATTTGTGTTTGTCTTTTATTTTTATACTGATAACATTACATTCTACTTTTGGGAAATCATTTATTATGCTTTTATTGAGATTTTATCTGATTTTATCAAAGCAAACAAAAAAAGTTTTGTGCTTAAACTTATGTAAAGTTTCCATTTGTATGATACTTGAAACAAATGTTTTTTTTATGATACTTTTTTAATGATACTTTTGGGGAAAATGTGGGGCCATAAAAATGTCAAGTACAATACATGTTGCTTAGGCGTTCTGCCCACTTCTCACCCCTGTTGATGAGCTCTGAAGTAAAAATTAGAAACTCAGTTTGTTACTAGAAGGCATACATGCGTACTTCTTGATTCCTGAATTTTTTGCAGAATTGTTAATGTCTATGCAATTTACAGGAAAATACAGGTGCAAAATGTTTCAGGCTTTTGCTTGCTGTAAAAACTTGAGACTGATATCTGACGTGAAATTTGCAGATGTAACTGGAATGACCCTTATTTAAAGTAAACAATAAGAAATTATCCTTGAAAAAAAAAAAAAAGGTCATTTTTCAGGATCAAAATTGCCACCTCCTATTCTATTGAAAAATCTCTTCACCCTTCTATTAAAAAAATAAAGTATTGAAAAGGTAAAAGCAGAGACATTATGCTAGTGTGTTTGTCATTAACTATGATCGTTAAATAAAAACTCAGTTTAACATGTACCTCTTTATGATTCTTTTTTCCTAAGAGAAGTTGTGAACCTTGAACAGAGAAGAACATGGAACACAACAGATAAATTACCGGTTCATCTGTATGATTTATGTGCAGGCATATATATCTGTCCTTCAGCTAGACACATTAACCATTTCTGACTGTAATCCAAAGGGCTTTGGCATGTGAGAAATGGTGTCTTGTGTAATTGTGTGCGTCTTAGGCGACGCTTAGGAGTTTTTCATTTTAAAATAGTTAGCTTTCATATCAATGTTTTGCTACTATTATTATATGCATTGAGTGTGGAGTACCATTGTTTCATTAATTTTAATCATCCTATGAAAGGGTGTATATGTAATATGGCTATTTACAATAGAGAAGTGATCATTAATCCTAAGTGAAGGGTAAGGGGTTGCTTCAGATTCTGTGCTTCTCTGATACTAAATATAAAAGGCATGTGTCTTTCTCAGGTTTGGGAGGAAGGGGAATGCATGAATTCACACCCAGTAATGATATCAGTTCAAATTACTTTGCCAAGTTGTCAGCGTCTTTAAAGCATTTTATGCATATTAAAAGGTTTGCAGGTCTTCGGAGTCTGTAGTGGTAGTTTTGTTATAGCATTGTGGTCCAAGAAAATAGACAATAATAGGTGATAATATTTTTATCATCAAATATAACTGAAAAAAATAAACAAGCTTTCCAGTCTAAGAAACTTTACTCAGGTGTACTTTACTTCTTCCTAACAGAAGATACTACTTCTGTCTAGTAGCCTGCTCTGGTTTTAGAGTCCTTAGCATTTGTCTTCTGGTGGAGTAAGGGGTTACTTGGGAAGAGAGTATAGGGTAGGATAGCAGAAGGAGTTAGGTTAAACTGCTTTTAGTTCTAATTTTACATTAGCTGTACATGTTAAATGTGCCATAGTGTTACACAATAGAAGAGCACTGTGTGTTATAATGTCAAAAGCCGGAATAAATTTATGTACACAAAGTGTTACTGAATGACCCACTCTTAACAAATCAGTGCCAACATGCTATTATAATGTCTTTACCATGAGAAAGTATCAACAGCCTATGAACAGACACGAACTGGAATGCTACAGGTAGATCCTGGCTGTGCAGTAAGCTGACTTATTCCCCAAATAATCTTACTAGGCAAAGTCCGAAGCTAAAACACAAAACGGTCACTCGTGCAATAGTGTCCTCCCACCCCCCCATATTGCACACATTCTGGGCTTGCTAACCGCTGCACCAGTTTTCATTTTTGTTTTAAATAAACATGAACATTGTGAATAAGCTGAACGTAAGAAAAGGCTAATCACGGGCAAGCAGTACGAGGAAACTCGGGCGGATGTGCTGAGGCGGTAGGTGGAGATTTGCGGGGAGGGTACAAGGGCGGCGGCGGCGGCG